AAAGAGGAAAAGCTTAGATATTTGGCATGAAACATTTTCTAGTAGATATATTCCACGGTACTCAAATAAAACCCCCAAGGATCAAAATTGACCCATCCCTGGGGTCATTGATTGTTCTAATATGTATAAAATAAACACTTTAAAATCATCTTGTGACAATCTAAAGCACTATTGATTTTTTGGCACGAAATATCTTCTAGTTTGTGTCTTTTAACCTTTATTCAAATTAGTGCACGATGGTCAAATCCCCCCCCCCCCCCGTCTAAAAGAGCTAGAGCTTAGATATCCGGCATCACCCTATAAAAATATACAAAAATGTCAAAATTATAGCCCTAGGTCCGTATGCAATACAGAGTGTAAGATTGTCTAATTAACAAACGTTGCTCTTAAAAATAAAAAAAGTTGTTTGCATCAGCGAAACACCATTATCGGACAGGTTTTGTTCGTTTATGATTATAGCGATTGCCACTGTGGGAAACGTGTCGGTTTCTTTTGTTCTTTAAGTACTTTTTAAGTTTTAAGACAATATTGACCGTCTTTGAATATAGAGAATTTCTTTGACAGCCTTACAACCACTGATTTTTGCATAGACCATTGAATTTTATACACTATTTCAGATGCAAATGTGAACATTCTTATATCAGCTTAAGATTAAGACTTTATATCTACTTGTTTTTTATAGCTTACAATATTACTTAATCCGTTTCATTAAGAGCATTAGTAAAGAGGGATATAAATGTCATCATGCCCCTCTTGTTAAAAAAGTTCTCTGTGTTTCTGAGTGTGACAAATCAATATATCATCTGATAATACGTTATACGACGCCGCCATTACACCATGTGTGACATTTGACTTCTTTTAGTTGTATGATTTTATAACAATTTGCAGAGGTTTTTGAGACTGGATCGAAAACGGAGCGGGTAACAAAGGACATTTGGATGTTTATTGACCAAGATGACGATAAACAGTTGGCAATTATTTACCTGGATGTTGAAGGATTTGGAGACCCTTCAAAGGTACAACTTTAAAACATGATAGAAATATTTACGTTCATTTTTAATATTTATTAATAAGTTTTTTTATTGTATTTATTTTTATAAATTAATGAAATAAAATAATAAAATGATCAGTCACTAACTTTGAACAATACGAATTATTATTGGAAACTTACTATTGAATAACAATGAAACAGTTCAATTCCAAATTAATAAAAAAGGTAACAGTGAGCTTATATAAATCAAAACATGTACCGTTAAAGTTACCTTATTCCTTAGAAGTCATTTTACAAATCGTGAAATATACCGAAATAACGATATTTAATAATTACATTTATGATTAGAGATCTTATTCAAATCATTCATTTTCAGTCAAATGTTAACGAGAATGATACTCGTTTGCTGAATATTGTGACGCAAATTTGTGACGTTGTCTTGTACAACATAAAAGGCGTGTATGACAGTGACATGCGTGACAAGATACAGTATCCTTTTCGTCCATTGGGGTGATACAAATGATGTCAGAATAATTAAGGCTTTATATGACTGTGTATTATACTGAATAAAAATGTTTTATGCTCGTTATAATATAAACTTAAGTAAATACGACTTAATTCTTGAAGCTACTATTTATACCATTTAGTGCATACGTAAGCAAATACAACACGCATAATATGCTTACAGGTATAGTTTTTCCAAACGATGATTATCATCGACACTTACATGCTACGTTAAGTGTGCAACCTTATTAAATAAAACATGACCTAAGAGTAAATACATGTGCATGCCTGAATTAAATATTAAATGGAATGGAATCAGAGGCAATGGAACATGCACATTATAAACAGGTGAAACTACATTTTCAAAAAGTTTAATAAATGAAGCTATACATATAATGTGAAAGAAAATGAAGATAAAATACAATACTTACTGTGCTACCAAGAATTTTATTTACAGAAAAAAATCATTTTTCAATTGAAAGTCAATTAAATGTTTGACGTCACTTAGACAAGCGTCCCCTGGTATGTAAGAAATAACGACGACATCACTGATATCGTTTCCATAGTAATAATTGTATATGCTCCTTATGATATTGTGAAGCCGGTAGGGACAAAGATCATTTTTTATATTTGCACGGTTTATGTTTTTTCCTCAGTGAGTGACATTTGTCCGCACATCTTTTTGATAAGTAATATATTTCCCGATGATGCTTATTGTACAAATGTCCGTAGTTGTTATTCATTAATCCTGTGGATTTCGAAATATATCTCCTCTTACAGTATACGATCAGATTATACACGGTACATTCATTTTGACGAACCAATAAAGTGGTTTAGTGAGAACATATTAGATTACATGCAGACCTCATTAAGTACTAATCCACTACGTCATTGGTTCTGTGGCATATCTCTGCCAATAGGTAACCATGCAATTATCGCGTTAACTCTTTGACTTACTAGTTAGTTTTCGAGGTAACACGACAAGTGACATATCTATCAGACTAACTAGAGATTTTTTTTCTCTGTTTTTACAGCTTTCCTGACCACGAAGAGGTCAAAATGAGGTATAATGATGGGGATATGTCAGTCACAGTTTTGATTGGATCATAATCTAACTTTGTCAGAATGTTTGTCTCGATAAAATTCAGGGGAAATTCAAAAAAGGGAATGTCGGGTCGAAACCAAGGTCAAAGGAGCTTAAAATAGAAAAAAAACCTATAGTGGCTGCAATTTTGATCCAAATTTCTTGGAAATAAGTCAGGAAGGTTGTTTTGAAGATTTCTAGTTTAAGTTTGGAAAAACGTCATCTCCCGTTAAAAACAAGGCCACATGAGCTAAAAATAGGAAAATTTTGTTAACCTGCTAGTGGCAGTTGCGATCAAATGTCCTTGAAATCGTTAATGAAGGTTGTTTTGATGATGTCTAGGTCAAATTTAATTATGGGTTGTCTCTGGTCAAAATCTGTTACAGGAGCTTAAATAAGAAAAATCTTGTTAACACTCTTGTGGCTGCAGTTTTGATTAAAATAGTCTGCTAATTTGCCAGAAAGGGTGATTTGATGACTTCTAGGCCTAGTTCGAAGATAAGTTATCTCAGGTCAAAAACTAGGTCACAGGAGCTAAACAAAGAAAAAACTTGCTAACACTCTAGTCGCTGCAGTTTTGATCTAAATTTCTTGGAAATCAATTAGAAAGGTTGTTTTGATGATTTCTAGGTCATGTTCGAATATGGGTCATCTCCGGTCAGAAACTAAGTCACATGAGCTAAAAATAGAAAAATGTTGTTAACACTCTAGTGGCTACAGATTTGATTCAAATATTCTGCAAATGTGTCAGGAACTTTATTTTTTTTAATTTCTGGCTCAAGGTTGAATATGGGTCATCGCCGGTCAAAAACAAGGTAACAGGAAATAAAAATAGAAAAATATCGTTAACACTCTGGTGGCTGCTGTTTTGATCCAAATATCCTGGATATTGGCCAGGAAGGTTGATTTGATGATTTCTAGGCCTAGTAGAAAATCTTGTGAACACTCAAGTGGCTACTGTTTTTTTTTTCAAAACATACTTGATATTGGTCTGCAAGTTTGTTTTGATGTTTCTAAGTCAAGTCTGAATATTAGTTAGCTGGGTTCAAAAGCTTAATATAGAAAGACCTTGTTATCACATAAGAAGTCACATTTGTACTTAATTGTCATGAAACTTGGTCAGGGTGCTTGTTTTAGACATTGCTTGGGTATTGTCGAATGGTCAGGGGAGCGATCTAGGGCCATCTTTGACCGAAGTAACGAATAAATATCTAACTTCCTAAAATACTTGGTGATGAGATCTGCTAACACTTAACAATTGAATAACAGATCATTATCTGTTTATCTATAAAACTTTTGTGTGTGAAAACTAAAGCATCAGATAATTATTTGTATATATGTTCATAAACTGAAAATTTATCTATTGGCAGTTCTTGGAAATTTGTAGTGTTTTTGAAAGTTATATAGTTACTTATTTGTTATTTATCTATCTAACAGAAAACATATACTGGCATGCGAGCAGTTCCCGTACAGAAGCAGTTCCCGTATTTTTCATTTAAACGCTTGATTTTTACTTGCATTCTTCAAAAATTCATTTCAAATCAAGCAGATACATAAACAAGACAAAATCTAAGTGTCAGTTCGGCAGTACGTATAAAAAGTCTCATTTTAAATCATTTTCACCTGTGCGTCGTCAAAACGTGACCTTGTTTTCTCCGGGGGATTCCGTCCATGCGCGCATGCGCAAAAATACTTACACGTGAGGCTTGTTAAAGGGTTTTCCACTAATACCACCTGTTTACAGATAAGTAGGCAATGTGATGGAAACTTGTTTAATTATCAGAATTTTGACCATAATTACTATATAAAATAATTTTATGGCTTTGATGCGTAAAATATCATGCATACAAGCATGCTATTGCTTGTGAATGCGTTGGGGTAACGGTACCGGGTAATAGATACCTGCGTTTAGTCTACGCTCTACTTTCTGAATTACATCTATTTATCTCTTAGATAATGGTCTGTTCAACAATTGTAAATGAAAAAAAGGTCCGATATAATAAAATTATATAATTATAATGGGTTAGATTTTATGTACGGGAACTACTTCTCTTCATACAAAATGATGGATAATTTCGGTACCCCATTTGAGGCCCCATAAGTAAGGGTTATTCTATGTTTAGAACATGATGGAATTTCCATGATGTGTGTGACGAGCCGAATATTGATGTGTAAAATTCAAATTTTGGTGAGTGAGCGTAATAAAAAATAATGTTTAAGTAACTATGATTTTTGTACGGGAACTGCTCGCATGCCAGTATAGTAAGTCTAATAAATATCTGTTATTTATCGTGTTGACACGACACATTCTAACTTCTTAGATAGTTAAAAAGTTGGACATTTCCGATCGATGGTTAATGTAATTTTGCATGGAACGTACAAAGTGTCATGTTATATCCTTAACATCACATACAGAATTGTATGTAATTTGTTTCAGAGGTATAGAAAAATGAATGCCGTTTTGGAAAAGCCAATACTTGTTTCTCTTTTGAGAGACTTCGATCTCGATCCTCCTAACTGTCCTGACACAGAGTTTCGTGATCTTTTTAAAAGAAGTCCAAATCTTCTCAAAACTTTTCGTGAAACAAAGGCATTTACACTATTGAAACCAAGTGAGGGAAAGGTTGGTGACTTGACATGCATGCCTGATGAGAAACTTTGTGAGGACTTTGTCAGAGTAAGGAATGAGTTAAAGGCTTATCTTACAGCAAAAACCAAGCCGCTACGTGCTACTCCACACCAAAAAATGACTGGAATCGGTATGATTAATGTCTTTTTCTATCACATATTTAGAGATAATGAGGTAATTTTCTGAAAGGGATCCAGTTATTAATATTTCAAATATTCATTTGCCTATCTTCTATTAATGTATGTATATATTATGGTCTATGTATATACTGCCATCCTTGCGATATATTTCCACATTGTATTTCAATAATAGTACAAGGTAGTAATAGAAAAAGAGAATAACAATAAAACCCTTACATGGTTGCAATTACGACAGTTTAACCATGATTGCAGATCAATGTCATTTAAGTTAAAGTCTGAATATTGCAATTGTCATTTAGTTTCATAAAGTTCTTTTAATAACATCAAACTTGAAAATGCGCCGATATCTTTATTTTCAGTGCTCGCAGAAAATATTCAAAGGACGGTCCAATATATAAATGATGACGATCTTAGAATGCTTTCAAAATCCCTTCCCACAATATTTAAAGAAAAGAATGATGCTATGACAGGATCTGCCTTAGACACATATAGAACCGAGATGTGCAAAAACTGGCCACTTCCAAGTCAACCAGAAACATTAATGCAATTGCATGAGAGAACCAAAAATGTTGCTTTTGAATACATTGACAGATATTGTTTTATCATTGAAGGAAGCGTTGAAATAGATAAAGAGGCATTTACGGTATGCAACCCTTCGTATTTAGCATCATTGTCATTTGACTAAATACAACCTTTCCCTGACGTTTGAAAAAATACACTTTATATACTATTTTGTATTTGCTGAAAGATATAGTAAACTAAGAATATAAATAAATATTTTTCGACAGACTAATAGATTTTGGATTTTTTTAATGAGTTTTAAATGTTTATGATAATTACACGACAAAAAAGCTAATGCTTATTTACATATCTCATATTCATTTAAAAAAAATTATAAAGTTAACATTTTTTCTACATCATAAAAACTTGTTTCGTTTTGTTTTGTGCAGATTGACATTGAAAACATTTTCAAAGACATCCAAAAAGATAAATGCAAGGACGCACTTCTGTCAGCTATTTGTGATATCGAAAACAAATTGAAAAGAGAAGCATACTTTGAGATTGATGGATTAGAAAGACTTTTTAAAGATTATGATGAAGCGGAAAAGGCGTATAAAGAAATGAAAAACTTAGGGCCAGAGGTAATTCTTGTATGATAATAACTAGTATATCCCATTCAAAACACCCCCAATAGATGTAGTATGTGATTAAAATTGTATAATTGGCAATTATTGGGAAAACATTCTTGCTCAAAAATACAAGTGTATTGATTGTCAGGTTTGATAACAGGAGGAAAACAGCGATATTCGAAGGCGAATGTAAATTTAATTGTACCTTTCCATACAATAGCATCGGTCTGGTAAATACTAACGGGCTCAAAAGACGGGAAGCGCTAATCGTAACTATTATTGGTCTCATAAAAATGAGTAAGTGTGACTCTTTGCTTAAATTAGTATGGCCTATTTATCAAAATCAAATGTCCTTCAGCAATTAATTACTTTTACTTATACCGGGAAAAGATAAAAGTCTGAAGGAGCTAGATCGAGCATATAAATCAAAATTGGTAGCCTTGACAATGGTCTTTTCGTCAGATTGAAACAAGCAAACATTCAAAGTAATCTATGACAGGGATTCATAACTTGAAATGGCGAGATTATCTTAACTCCAGATAGTTTGTGACCATCTTAATTAAGAACAAGAAATAACATTTTGTAATATTTGAGTTTGGAAGCATGCTGTATTTGAATGTTTGGATATATTGATGATATTTGCTTGTAAATGAGCATAAGCATAAAGGATCTTACTTAATTGTCTTTTTGAGGTTCATTTAAAAAAATTAACTCTACACTACTAGTTTGGTTTGAAGTAAAATCAAATTTCAAATAAAATAAAGAGAGAAATGTCTATATTATTAAACCAATCTTTTTGGTAATGGCTTTTGCTCCAAGTGCGTATTTCGAAAATACCATGATGAAGATTTATCTAAAATAACGAACAGTATCTTAAAATTTCAAAATTTATATTTGATACTTTTGTAAAGAAACTTAGTGTCTGGGAGGCATACAATAAGGAAATGGACACAATTAAAGATCTTATAAAGCAAAAGGTAAGGCTCATAGAAACAGAACACTCTGTAGCTGACCTTCAAATGGAAAAAAGACAGCTAAACGAAAGGATAGAAATGGACAGGAAAGCTTTCGAAGAGAAGTTGAAAGAATTTCAGAACAAGGAAAGGAACGACAGTGTACGACGTGAGTACTACACGTTTTGATTCAATTTATTACGAAGGTATAACCATCCTAATGCATTACTTCCGATAATTAGGCTAGAACTTATGAAAAACACATTGAACCATAAGGCCAACGGTCAACTTTTTTCTTTCTTTTACCATTATGTATGTATCGCTTATATCCCTTTTTGGAAGAACAAAATGTTTAATTTTAAAAATTTAAAGATCAATAAATGTTCAAAATCATTTCCGTATTTCTAAAAATGGAATTTACCATTACAAAGAACGGATTTTAATCGTAATGCCCAAAATGTGATCTAGTTAAAACGTTACCACCCGATACATAAAGCCATATTTCATTTTCTTGTGGCCACACAAAGATTCATTCTTTAATCCCGCGATTCAGTCGGAAATATACGAGCGTATACGTGTTCGGGTTGGGTTATTTCGGAAGTGTGACGAAGTTCACATGAATAATAAATGAGAAAATGGCGGAGCTTGAACGATGTCGAGCTGAACTCAGCAGAATAAAAACCAAAAAGGGCGTGCAAAGATGAAATTCAAATTTGGCCAGCACATCGCAGATTGGAATTGTTTGCAGGAAAGTAATTGATTTTCAAACGACTAAGAATTTGCTCTCCACCTGTTAAGTTAGAAAAGTCAAACTAGGTCGCAAAATTTGTTGTTGTTGTAATTGTATTCTTTTTGTGAATCTGAGTTGTTGCCTTTTTACATGAATCAGTGTATTCTTTTTGGTCGTTTATTGGTCTTCAATCTTTTAACATAATTATTATTAAAGTTGTTTGTTGAAGAACGAATTTAGAAATAATGGCTGGTTTCTTCAGATTCATGACAACATGAATTTATCTGGTATTACATTATATTTACTGACAGTCTATAAATATATGGACCATGACCCGTGGACCATATCCAAATAAATTTGTTATCTGTAAATTCACAGACATTCAGTACAAAAATTGTAAAGTTGTATTCAAATTTAAAAAAGCGAAGGTTAAAAATAATACGACTACTGATTATATGCTTAAATGTAACCGTATCGTAAGATTTAGAACAATTTGAGGACTTACAATTGTCACAGGAAGTAATCATACAAAGGTGAGTCCTATCGGTAATATAAACAATCTGACTATAATTATATTCCCACATACATTGATTTATGTACAGACCATAGCCTGTATTGAATTTGTATTTGCTTGAAATAGTAGAAGCAAAAATACAAGTGTATTTCAGTTGACACATACACAGAAGTTATTTCATTAATGAATTTATTGTAGCTTGCATGTGCAGATCTAGCATTGATAAAAAAAATTGCACTGAAAACCCAAATCCATGCCTCAATATTTTGACAAAAACACAATTATGGGAAGATTGAATATAAATTTTTTGTTTATCAGAAAGTTAAAATACACGATTAAGATATAATTATTTTTCCTATTCCCCCTTATCATGCTATATTAATTTTGTCATTCAAAATATTTTCAAATTTAATCTCGGAAATTACCTTATTATTTCTCTGAAGTTGTCGTTTTGCTTCCTGATAGACTGAAGCCAACACTCTTTAAATTATTCTTATAGGCTGACCAGGACAAGGAATAAAAACAATGGCTTAATAACAGTGTATGAAGAGCAGATGAAAACATTCTCATATATACCAGAACTCATAACATCAGTTCCCCAGCTCTGACTTACAGCCAAAATATGGATGAGCAGGAAGAAAAAACATGAGGAGGAGGATTCAAGGTGCATCTGAAGGCATTTAACAGTTGCTCTGCTGCCTACTGCGGAGTTAGTTCTAGTTGTATAGAAACAGTTTTGGTTCAAATGATTCTTAATCGGAATACTGTTATGTATGCAACATATTACATGTATATAATTTATATCTGACCAGTTGGTATTTCCAATTTTATCATTGTTCTATTTTTAGAACATAAACTACATGTATGTACTAGAACGTTCTTAACTGTTGTAGAAAACTCATGCATTATATTTAGATAGAAACTTCTGGAATGTTCTTTATTGTTGAAGTTGCTAGATTATGATTACTTGAGAACATAATAGACCTTTCTGGAATTTTCTTAGTTAATATATATAGATTGACATTTTTCATTACTTTTACCTTTTAAGTCATCAGTGATCTTTTAAGTCTTCAGTTACGTTTTAAGTCATCAATATATTTGGAGTATTATTCAACTTGGATATTAAGTGATTTATTGGAGCTTGGATTATTTCAAAATAGATTAAATTATTCTTGTGGATTTTATTGTGGGAATTTATTCTAAATTGTTCTTGGATTTAACTTGGATTTAACTGTGCTATTCAAAAAAGGATCATTCCAGGATCAGACTAGACATTTAAGATTTCATTTTTATTTGGACTTCAGGTATTTGTAAACGTAATTTGTTATTTTATTTTTCTTTAATAATTTTTCAACAATAAATTTGTTATTGTTACAAGTTTGTTGCTGGCTTTTCTTTCTCGTTACGCCTGGCTCGTAACAGAAATAGGGGGCTCGTCCGGGATTTGAATATTTCTTTTTGGCTACATTATTGGAAATTATTACCGTTTATTTTACATTTTATTATTACCGTATTTACTCATCTGAGTTGATATCATAGTTGTTCTATTAAGTGTACCTTTCATTTTGATATTTTTGAAACACATCACTTTCTGAGTTTAAAACCAGCAGCAAGCAGTCATGTCTTTTAATTTAGAAAAGTTTGTAGCTGAACCTTCCCAGGAGGTATTAGATTTGGCTAAGAAAACTGATTTGCTCGATCTTGCAAAAAATGTATAATTTATCAGATATTAAATCTTCAATGCGAAAACAAGAAATTAAAAATCTTCTGATTCATTATTTTGTGGATGAAGATATTTTTGGAGAAGATGCACTTTCTCACATTGTTGAAAAACACTCTGAAATTTCCGAAATAAAAATAAAAGAGCTTGAATTACAATTTAAATTTGAACTAGAAAAAATGCAGTTTGAAAAAGAAAGGGAAGAAAGACAGTTATAAAAAGAAAGGGAAGAAAAAGAAAGGGAAGAAAGGCAGTTGGAAAAAGAAAGGGAAAGGGAATTTCAATTAAGAATGAGAGAATTAGAAATAAAAGAGAAAGCAAATCAGTTTGAACATAGAATAAATTCAAAATTTGATGTTACTAAAAATATTAGACTTGTTCCACCTTTCCAAGAAAAAGAAGTTGATAAATATTTTCTGCATTTTGAAAAGGTTGCTGAGAATTTAAAATGGCCAAGAGAGCACTGGAAATTACTTTTACAGAGCGTCTTAATTGGTAAAGCTCGTGAAATCTATACACAACTTTCTGTTGAACAAAGCTCTAATTATGATAATGTAAAAGATTTAATTTTGAAAGGTTATGAGTTAGTACCAGAGGCCTACAGGCAAAAATTCAGAAATTCTAAGAAAGAAACTGGTCAAACCCATGTCGAATTTGCAAGAGAAAAAGAACAACTTTTTGATCGGTGGTGTCTATCTAAGAAAATTAATAAAAATTATGAAAAGCTTAGACAGCTCATGTTAGTTGAAGAGTTTAAACGTTGTATTCACTCTGATGTTAAATCTTTCTTAGATGAAAAACAGGTTGAAACTTTAGAAGAAGCTGCCCGTTTAGCTGATGATTATTCTTTAACCCACAAAGTTTCATTTATAAATAAAGGGAAGTTCACACCCTCACATTTTAATTCCAAGTTCAGTTCTGGTTATTTATCTGGCTCATCTAGTCAGTCAAATACTCCAAAACCAAAGTCATCTGATGAACATAAAGGTCATAATCCCTTATCTCGTCCTACATGCAATTATTGCAAGAAAACTGGACATCTTATTTCTGATTGCTTTACCTTAAAAAGGAGGCAACAACAACGTGATGAGGCCAAACCCACAGGTCTTACCACTTCAAGGTCCGAACCTCAGTCTTGTATTGATTACAATGCAATTTTGAAGGTCACAGAACCCAAGTCTGATTCTATAATGGAGATTTATTAACCATTCTTTTCGGAAGGTTCCGTGTCACTTATCGGTGATACTTGCCCACCTACTCCTATTAAGATTTTAAGAGACACAGGAGCTTCTCAATCTCTTATTTTAGCAGATACACTGCCTTTTTCTGAGAAGACTTCTTCTGGATCTAGTGTCCTTATTCAGGGTGTAGAGTGTGGTTTTTCTAATGTCCCTCTCCATAATATTTATTTGTCCTCAGATTTGGTAACTGGGCCGGTGGCTGTAGGTATAAGATCTTTCTTACCCTTTAAAGGTGTTCATTTATTGTTAGGTAATGACTTAGCTGGAGATAAGGTAGTGGTTAATCCACTTGTAACTGACACTCCTTGTGTGGATCAGATACCTGACCCCATTGAGCAGGAAATTCCTGACCTTTACCCTTCATGTGCAGTTACTCGAGCTATGGCTAAGAAGGCCATTCAAGAAGACAATTATTGTTCAGATATTGACTTAGCTGACACTTTAATAGGTCAGTCTTTTGATAATGAAATAAATTTTTCTCTTACTCCTACTCTGCCTGAAACTCAGACAGATTTTTCAATATCTGACTTTTCTACACCAAGATCTAAAGATCAAGGTCATGACACGCTGTCAAGGTCACAGCTTATCCAGGAACAACAAAATGATCCTGAGATTTCTGTCCTTTTTCAAAAGGCTTTTAGTGAAGATGAAGCTTTACAAGTCCCTGTTTGTTATTATGAAAAGAATGGGATTTTAATGAGAAAATGGCGACCGCCCGATGTGCCTGCTGAAGAGGAGTGGACTGTTAATCACCAAATTGTGGTGCCTAAATCATATCGCCAGGAAATTTTAAACTTGGCTCATGAAACACCCATGGCAGGTCATTTAGGTGTTAATAAAACCTACCATAAAATTCTCAATCATTTTTATTGGCCTGGCCTTAAAGCAGATGTATCTAGGTACTGTTAATCTTGTCATACTTGTCAGATGGTGGGAAAACCTAACCAGACAATACCTAAAGCTC